TCAATGCGCCTGCAAACGGGCTCCCTAACTCGCTGATAACTTTGCTTTGTAATTGCCTATATAATACCATTAGTACCGGTACAGAGGAAAGCTAGTGTACGAGGGCTCTTTCGGTATATAAAGTGCGACCCCGTGATAAAAAAATCGAGGCCCAACAATCCATCTATAATATGTATATTGGGGTTTGTCTTCTATTGGTGTATGTACTAGCATGGATGTACTAGAGATTGGCGCTGCACGGTGTTTACTCGTTTTGATGTATGTGCGTTGCCGCCACCAGATTACTGTTAATCCAGATCGTGTCTGCATAATTTCCTGCGTCCTGTCTTGTGCGTCCATGGTCAAACTAAGTATATCACATGACCCATGTAAAAGCCCTATAGGGCGTTTATATAACAAAAGATATGGATAAAAACCCAAGGGCATTATCGAATTAACGGCCTGGAACTTAAAACTATTTCGCACGGCATTTCATGTAGTTATTGCCTTGAAATATAGCATTTTGATTGGTTGAGAATTTCTGGGCAGGTTTTAATATCAGTTACCAGCCAACCACAAGCGAGTGTAGTACAGGTGTAGTACGGGAGTACAGGTGATCCAGATTACACTAAAATATGTAATAAATGACATTAAATTATGTAAATAGTAAAAATGTAATACGTGACATAAAAACACGTATTATAGGTAGGAGCTTTTTTAGAATGTTGCGTAGTATGTCTCTACATGAGTCAGAAAACGGAATCAAATTTGGAAACATGTGACGAGGACCCTTGGAATCTATGGTGTCATCTTATATGGCTGAAATATGTAAATCCGCACCAGTGCTGTTTAATGTCAGCAACTTGAGGCATTCAAAATAAGCTACAAGTGAGCATTCACTAAACGTATTTCAAGCAGTCGTAATCGGGATAGTGTGCTTTCGTGTAACGGGAGCGCATCCGCTTACAGCGGGAGGGTCGTCACCTGCGCACGCGCGGGAATTCAGTCCCAAGCGACGATAACAAAACACGCTAAAAACGCAAAGGCTCATGGGTAGATGCTTGTTTGTAAACAATGACACGCTATGGCCACCTAACGCATGCGCAGGTGACGATTCCCCCGCTTTAAAGTGACGAGGGGAATTGCTGAATTGCGAGTTTGAATATAGTGCTTCACGTTTGTATGCTCGTATATGTGCCTGTAATTTCGACAACATATTCTAAACCTGCTACTGATTTGAATCAAATGAATAACGATATCAAGAAAGGAGAGGA